TAGGTGTTGATTTATGATTTTCAAGTCAATATGCAGCACACACAAACTCCTTTCTATTTGCATTTGTATACTGATTTTGATTCCCTAACTGAACTGTCAGTTCTAGAGTCAGAGAATGTTAGAATCCTGTATCCATTCCCTGCCAAGGGTCCTCAGGTCTACTTCATTACAGCCATGGTAACAGCAGCAATTACCCAGAGAACACTTCAGTGACAAGTGGGTGAGCAGAGAACATAGCGCTGGGAGCACAATTTCAGATGTATTTGAAATCTTGAAGCTGGAACCAGGTAGGGGCTATATTTGATTATTACAAGGGAAAAACTTGTGCTGGCAAAGAGAATTTAGGGGGGATGGTTTGGGGACAAAGGAATATTGTGGAGGAAGAGAGGCTCAAAGAAGAGTTAAGAACAGAGGCCACAAGAAGATGGAGGCAACAGCCTAACACCAAAATTTTTTATTGTATTAGGTCACTATAGGGGGTGGGGCCTTGGGCCCTTACTGCACAGCTTGCTCATTGGTGCCACTTCCAGAGTCTTGAGGCTTCATGACATCTGGCAGTTCTGGAGGGCTGGAGAAGGACTCAATGCGCAGTGTTTCAAATACATCATCTGTGGAGTGGGAGAGAGAACCATTACCAGATGATCCCTTGTTTTGCCTGAGTATCCCCCTTCTGTGGTCCATAGTGGCTGCAAGTGGTTCAGAGCTACTAGCTATCTTGGTTGTAGGATTTACATACCTGCTTCACTTTATTCCTTGAGGTTCCTAGAACCTTAGGGTTAAGTCCTTTGCTTGGCTCCCATAGCTTGACACCCTCTCTTTCTGGCTTTTCACCAGCAGGCACCCTCTACTTTAGCAAGCCTCACTTGGACATTCTTTAAACCACAGCTAGTTTCAAACCTCACCTTCATTAAACCTTCCTTGATTATTCCTTTCATACCTTTCCCTGCTCTGAATGCCTGTACATCACTTGCCACAATTTAATACTTAATACTTCTAGAATCTGATTTCATTATCATTGTACCCCCTACACCAGTGCAAATACGTCTTCTATATTTGGTGGAACCAACATAATTAATAACTGTCAAATTTAGTGATAAGCCTCTTCCTAGGATAATTCTCACCCAAAAGTTTCCAGCCCACAAATTTTGCAGTTTTTTTGACTTGTCAAAGCTCTGCTGGCAGTTTACAAGAATTCAAAGTTATCTCCACACCACAAGGAGGCATCACAGTGGGGTTTTAATGGGGGAAGTTCTTTTACAAAAGTTACTATTTTATTTACAAAGTTTTATCTGCCTCACTGGTCTGTCAAATCTCTGGCATCCACCCCCAGCCCAGCACGGTGGAGTTCAGTGCTCCTGACTGACAACTATGGCTAAAAGAACTTGTTAGTGGGCAGATTTGGTACCTACATTCTATACTCTTATTGCAACCCTAGGCATGTGACCTCAGTTCTGAGAAAAGTACTTTGAAAACCTCAAATTGTTGATGTTCAGGCTGTATCTTATTCTCTTATTAAATCACTGCATTTTGAGGCCAGGAACAGTTGCTGTACTGCCTTCTCTCGGCAGGAAGGATAACCTAAAACTTGTTTTTTTCTGCAGTTCCCTGAAAAGATCCTTGAGTCACATAGTAAAAACTCTAAAACTTAACCACTGGGGGTAGGGAATCCATGAGTTTATCTTCCTTAAAGCACAGAAGTATGAAAGCGAACCACAGAGGGGGAAGTCTTCAGACCCATCAGTGCAATTTTATCAACATGTCCAAGAAAAATGCTGGTTATAGTTTCATGACAGTGCAATACCCAATGAGAGATACAGCCTCACATGTGTTACAGAAATACACAAAAGCCTCAATGTTACAAAAGTACCAATTCACATCTTAATTTCCAGTAAAACTCTCTATTCTTGGTTCTAATGGTACTCAAAACACCCATTTTTTTTCCTGGTCAACTCCTTACCAGCTCGAAAGGCCAGCCCCACAGTGGCTGGTGCTTGAGGCCTGGCTGTCTGACTTGTGAAGCCACACTCGCCCAGGGTCTTACTGTCATCCAGCAGCTGGTCATCCTGGGGAGAGAAAGGTGGTGGTGGTAAGATCCTAAGAAGAGGTCAGGGACACGGATAGGACACACAGCCCAGGAACATGTGTGGGTCCTATGGCATTCCTTCCTGGAGGCAGAGAAGGGCTGGGACAGGTAGGGATTCTGGGTGGCAGGAAGAGAGGATGCCACATAAGGTTGACAGCACTTTGATTTACAAAGCACTTTGCCTGCATGATCTCATTTAATCTTCATCAGATATGGTATAATTATCCTCATTTTATAGGCCAGGAAACTGAAGCTTATAGAAACTGACTTGCCTAGGGTCTTAAGGCTAATGAGTAGCATCAATGAGATCTAATTTAGGTCTAATTATTCCAAGTCTGGAACTCTTCCTAAATTACCTTGTAGCCTCTTAATCAGATGATGCCATTCAGCAGTGATGTTCAATAAGTAGTTGACCACAGAGTATGTATAAACAATGAGCAGACACAGCTGGCTCTGAGTTGGGGGAGGAAGGTCATTTCTCCCCATGGTAGAGAAGGGAAGAAAACTTTTCAATACAAAGAGAGCTGGCTCCTGGAAGTTACCCAGTATTATCTTTGGTAGCCAAGCCTCTCCTTTACCTAGTGAAGGAATGTCAGGCCTTGTAGCAGGGGTATGGGATATAAGAAAATAATGACTTTAAATAATCCTTCGGGCCTTCTCTCCAAGGAAAAAGGTGTGGAGAGCTGGCTATGATCCCTTGCTAATGCGGGTGATAATGTCCTGCCCTAAGAAGGAAGTTCAGATTCAGAACTGATGCTGGACCCTGGAGACCATCTAGTCAAACCCACACACCCCCATTTTACAGATGAGGAAACTGAGTCCCAAAGAAGTTAAGTGACAAGATCACAAAAGTAATACTTGTCAGACGTGCGATTTGAACCTAGTTCCTCCGATTCCAAATGGAGTGTACCATGATGAGACAAATGTGGGCGGGGGAACAGCAGTGGGTATGGGGTGAGGGTGGGGTGTGGGGACGGACTACAAACCTTGTAGAGCCGCTGCTCATCCGGGGGCCTCTTGAGGATGCCTTCCACAATGCGCTTCAGTTCAAACACTGTGCTCGACTCCTTCGCATCTGTGAAGATCGTTGTCTTGTGGCGCCGGATCATTAGGAACACATCCTGGGGGCCAGGGGCAGGAGTGAGCCTTCTCCGCCCCGGCCAGCCCCGGGCGCATCCCAGCCCCTCTCCCTCCAGCCCTGGTCAGAGCAGGGCCTTCTCCATACATTCCTAAGCCCCCATTCCTGTGCCTCGAGCCCAGCCCCGGGCCCCACCTCGTCCCCAGTCCCCTCGCCCCTAGCCCGGCCCGGGCCCCCTAGCCTTCATGCCCCGAGCCCGACCCCTCCCCTCGGGGCGCCCCTTGCTTCTCTACCTCCTCACTTACCATCTCGGCGTCTAGCTTCCCTCCCCCCCCAATCAACTGCCCGGCGCAGTCTCAGTTCGTCCCAGTCCCGGGATGCTTTGAGTACGCGTCGGCGGAAATTACTTGCCGTGAATATACGTACGCCGTGCTCGGACGTCCTCCCTTTTAGGTGCGTCTCTGCTGCCATCTTAGTAAAGATTTGTATTCTAAAGCGCAGTCCCAGGTCGGCCCGTGGTGACGACATTGGTAGATTAGTTCATTTTACTGAAGAACTAGGAATCCGGGAGGAGGTAGCGGCTTAGGGAATATTGTTTCGAGAGCACAAGGCGAGTGCCATCTTGGTAGAGGGAGAAGTGAGGCCGCCATGTTGGTAAGGTCAGGGGAGGAAACAATGCGGCGTCGACGACGCCATCTTACAGAGGTCGTAGTGGGTTGCGGGGGAGGTGACCTAAATATAGCAGGTCCGGTGCTAAAACCCCATTGGGATGAAATAAACCGATGATGGTCCCTTCTTGATACCCTGGGAAAACTGCTTTTGTGGGAGTGAGGCAATGTGGACACCGTATGTTGACAGATTTAAGAAGCAAATTTTAGGTCTGACGTAAGGAAAAATATCAGTAGCATTCAGGTCAGCTTGAAGTATTGTGGTACCTCTCACTAGAGATATTCTGGTTGCAGAGGAAGATACTTTTGGTGGGGTATGGGTTGGGCTACGTGGCTGCGGAGGGCCCTGCCAACGACGGTCTGAAGGAAGCCCCTAAAAGGTGACCATATTGAGAAGGTCTGTCATAGGAGGGACAGTGCATTCTCGGTTGTAGTCAGAGGGTACTTCCGGCCGTCATTCTGGGCCCTTTCGTAGACTTCCATCTTGAGATAGATCCGCGTTGGTTAACTCACGCTTTCCTGAATCGGAGAAGGCTTCCCAGAGGGGGTGTGGGGAAGAGAAGAGGGAGGAGGAGTCATCAAGTCAGGCCCACTTGACGGAAAGGGAAATAAATTTAATTTTAAGCAGAAGGGAATGAAGTCAGACAGAAGTACTTCCTGTTTGCGGGGGTGGGATGAGAACTAGAAATCTGAAGCATGACCTCTCCCCCTCCCCAGTCTCTGAGTGTCTCCGTCTCTGAGCCTCTGTCTCTAACTCTGGCCTCTCTCTGTCATTTGTTTTTTCTGTCTCTGTCTTCTCTGTAGCTTTTTCCTCTCTCTCTTGTCTCTCAAAGCTTTTGGTCTTTTTTATCTCTTGCCTCTTCCGTCTCTTTTCTAAGTCTCTTGTCTCTGTCCTCTCTTTTGTGTATGTTTCTCCCTGCCCCGCACCCCTCATTCCCCCTAGGCATTGGATTGGGCTTCGTTTTCTCAGTGTCCCCCTTAAAGGGCACCCAGTTCGGTCGCAGACCAGGGGCTGTCGCTCTTCCAGCGTCTCATTTCTCTGAACTTTTCACCTGCATCCCCCTCCCCTCCCCAACAAGCCCGGGCTGCCTATTCTCGGAAGCCTCCTTCCTCTGCCCAGGAAGCAGAGACTGCAGTCCCCTTGCCCCAGAGGCATGAAAACAGACGCAGATACTTGTGGCATTCACTCTTTACTTTTCTTATTCACTTCCCTGAAGGAGGCCTTAGTTTGACCCCTGGCAGACTCAACATATTGGAGATGGGCGTGCCTTTGAATTTACTGGGTCCCCATTTTACAGAGGAGAATATGAAGCCCAGGGAGGGGAATTTATTTGCCCGATGAGTCCGTGGCAAAGCGGGACATCAAACAGATCTTTTGGCTCACAGCGAAGGGCTTACATTCCTGCCTCCCCCTCTTACTTAACTGCTTCCCCTCTTCCCCCTTGCTTTGCACTCTAATGACTCTGCTCCCCCTTCTTCTGCAACACCCCTTTGGAGGAGAGACAACTGCTGGAACTTGTTCTGGCTGGGGCCCAGTAGGCTTACTGCTAATCTTTCTTCTGGCATCTTTATTAAAAAGAGAAGGACGAATTAGATACTGAAGTGCTATCTCTGTGCCAACCCAGGTAGGGGAGATGGGGGTGAGGGAATTACACTCAGTCTCTGGGGTGGGGGCATCTGCTGACAAGGCTGAGTGTATTGAAGGCTTTTTAGAAATGGAAGGTACTAGAGATGGATTTGGAAAGGGGGAGATTTCTGATGTATCTGGGCATGTGGGTGGTGGGGAGGTCGAACGGGGTTAAATAGAAGGGAAGCAGCAGCTGTTGAGGAATTCAGTAACTGTTGGCAAGGCCCCACAGGACCAGAAGGAGGCTGGTGACATGGGGACCATGAGTCCGTGTGACAGCAGCATTCCAGACACTGATGCTGTAGGAGCCCAGCCGCACCTCTGATGTGTTATTCAGGATCCAGTCCCCATAGGCAGAGACGAGAGTGTAGACACCTGGTTTTCCGGGTCGGGCACAGCCAATGCCCCAGCTTACGATTCCCACCAGGAACCAGGAGTCTACATACGGACATACCAAGGGACCCCCAGAATCACCCTAAGGTTAGGAAGAAAGGCTTATTAATTTAGGCCTGAGTAAGAACCTGTTTTCTCAATGTTCTAACTTCCTTTATCTTCCTCCTCCCTCCCTAGATTTCAAGCCCACCTTCCCCAGGACACTCTCCCCCACCCATGTCAGACCAGGGAGGCAGGAAGTAGTCCTTCCAAGTCTCAGTTCCCCAGCCTGCCCGTCCACCCAAAATATAGAATATGAGAATAGGAAGGGCCCTTAGGACCACTGGGTGCTTTCACATGAAAGGATGAAATTGAACCTCAGATGACTTGCTGAAGGTCACACAGTAAGTGGCAAAGCAAGGCCTAAAATTCAGATTTCTTGGCTCAGTTTAGGATTTCTTCTAATTAATCCATAATCCCTACCCTAAAATTATATGAATAGGATTTAGCCTGACGTAGCAGAAAGAGTCCTGAACTTGGAGGCTGAAGACTTGGGTTTTAGGTCTGGCTTTGCTATTAACTTACTTATAACCTTCATTAGGCAAGTCTAGCTTTGCCTCAGTATCTCTATTTGTAAAATTTGGAGGCAGGACTAGATGGGGGGTTTTTACCTAGGATTTGTAAACTTTTTTAAAAAATTGATAACTGCAATTCAGTATAATTGGATTTTGGCTAATTCTGTGTTTTATGCATTTAAAAAGGGACTCATAGATTTTGCAGATTGTTAAAGGGATCTGTGACTGAAAAAAGGCTAATAATCCTTCGACTAGAGATGATTTCCATGTCCCAGCTCTGACACTGCATGATTTTAAAATAATTCCCTCCCAGGGCCTGTCCCTCAGTCTCTCCCTCCCCCAAAGAAGCAATAGTTTTAGGAGACCTTGGTTATGCAACCCAACTGTCATCTGTGCCCTCACCTGACAGGCATCCACACCCCCATTCATATAGCCCGCACAGATCATTTCATCGGTGACCTCTTGCTGATCACTGTTCAAGATCTGGTTACACTCCTTAGCTTCAATCAGTGGCAGCGTTGCTTCCTGCAGGGGGTATGGTGGGGACAGCTGAACTGGGGGTTGGGAGAGAGAGCAGAGACACTTACTTCTGGGAAGAGCTGAACCCTAGTCCTGATCTTTATGGGAGAGCAGAAAGAAGATGCTGAACTCAGCTAGTTCTGGGGAGGGGATGGACAGACAAGTCAGGAGGACCTGAGTTCAAATCCGGCCTCAGACACATAACACTTACTAGCTGTGTGACCCTGGGCAAGTCACTTAACCCTGATTGCCTCACAAAGACAAAAGACCCACAGGAGGTACTACATGAATGTCAGCTATTATTATTGTTTCCCAGCACAAATCAACTGTCAAATGAGCATGCTAGGTGTTTGTTCATTTCATTCCTTAACCTGGACTTCTATTTTTTTTTTGGGGGGGTGCTGTTTTCAGCACTTCCAGTCCTGCCTCTTCCATTAGAGCCTTCCTTGATCACCCCTACCACCTAGTAATCTCTGCTTTTTTTTTTAATGTCTATAGATAGTATTTAAGGGACAGAATCATTCACTCTAACATTGATTTAGATATCCTTTTCTATTGTGCAAGTTCCCTACTGGGAGTTTTGTGTTCCAGATTATGCACTTCTGAGGACCAGGACAACGAGACTGGGTCTTGTTTTCCCTAGTAGCACCTAACACAGGTCTGGGCTAAAACCTGGTGAATTGGAAATTTCCATTTTTATTTCCATGTGATAAGATGACCTCCTGTCCCCTAGACCCAAGGAAGATGTGCTTCAGCAAAAAGGGAGAACAGTGGAGTTTTTCTCCTTAGCTTCCTGTTCTGTTCCAGTCTGAGAGCTGATGCTGTAGGTAGTTCCCCAGCTGGGAGAGAAGGGAAGGGTGAAACGGGAGGACCGGCCTTTTTCTATTGGTTAAGATTTTGAGGATATCAGGCTGGCCATAGTGCAAGTCTTAGTTCAATTTTAGTGGCTAGGGTCAAGTCATTCACCCTTTCTGAGCCTCAGTTTCCTCAGTTTGCACTGGGATAATACCACTTGTACGACTTCCTTCACAAGGTTGTTGAGAGGACAGGACTTTTGTAAACCTTAAAGTGTTATAGAAAACTGAGGTATCATTAATAAATATCCTGAGGTATCATTATTAAATATACGCAGCCCAGAGATAAGGTGAAATCACTTAGGGATTATTGTGGAATTATCCATGACCACCTTGCTCAGAGAACTTGGGCTGGAGAACTTCACCTAGGTCTGGGAAGAAGCTTCATCAGACTCCCCTCTTCCCCCATGAGAACCTCCCACTGTCCCCCTCGCTCCCAAGGCTCACCTCCCTCCTTCACGTTCCCCCATCCTGTCACAGAGCAGGTTGAATTAGTGTGAAAGGGGTTGGAGGCCTCAGGGAGACAGGCTGGCAGAATCCAGGGGGAGAAGGTGAGAGGCTGGGCCAGCTTCAAGAGGGCAATGTCCCCCGTCGAGCCATCTACCCCGGAGTAGTCTGGGTGCAGGATCACCTGGCTCAGTGGGCTTGAGATGGACTGGTCTGGGGTGGAAAAGAGCAGGAGTTCCCCGAAGACTACCTGGAACTGGGACTCCTGGATAGGCCTGCAAAGGGGGTGGGGATGGGAGCAGGGGGGAAAGTGTTGGGACAGGACTGGAATCGTGTTCAGGGAGGGAAACCCCAGGCCCAGCACAACGGTTTGTAAACTTTGCAGGACATCCTATAACCTGATCTTGCATAGTCTTGTATCTGAAAGTTGCAGGGGCAAACTGTCTCAAGGAGAGGGGGGTGTGGATTAGGACAGACATGTTACTGTTTATGGGTTGTATCTCAGCATGGGGTAACTGACTCACTGCTCTGGAAATGCAGGTGGCACATGGTGCTGAGACCAACTTGGTGACAGGGAAGTTGTACCAGCCACAGAGGACTGATGTTTTGGGCAATTGCTACACCTGTAACTTTCCTGCAGAGCCATGACAAGAGCAGGGTGACCAGAGTTTTGCCCCGGACCACAACAATTACAGATAACACAGATTTATACTGGATTCAGTCTTGTAGCCCAGCCCTTGTCCTCCTTGCTGGGTGTTAGCTTTTCCAGCAGCGCCCTCCTATAGATCTCTACCCATAGTTGATTGGAGGGTGCATTTAGTGCTGCTTGCCCCAGGAACTGTTTTGTGCCAAAATGATCAGCTCTGCCTCCCTTTCCCCTCCACCCCCAAATGATTAGAAAGGATGGGAAACAACAAAACATAACTAAACACAGCTAAAGGACAGTATTTTCTGTTTCTATAGAAATATTAAAAGCAACTTGGACTATCCTCTCTATGTTGCCCAAAGGTGTTAAAATGTTCTCCACTGGACTCACTGGGATTAATCACAGAGAATCTAATCTAAGATCTTGCTTCTAGGCCAGGGTGCAACCACCTTGTTCATATATCTGTTTCTGGGGAGTTGCAAATATCTCAGATTGAGGGAGTATGATAGGGAAAAAACCAGTGGACTTGAAATCAGGAAACCTGAGTTCTAGTTCCAGCTGTTGGTAATTGGTCGTGAGACTGTAGGCAGGACAGTTCCCCCTTTATGGGCTTCAGTTTGGGGCACAGTTGTGTCTGTGGACTGGATCAGAGGACTCTGGGACATTAAGCTGTTGGTTCAACTGACTCTTGGATAGGGTCACAGGCCTTTGGGGGAAGAGGTGATTGGTTGAGAAGGGACCTGGTCACTCACTGGTGAAAGCAATGGGCAGCTGTCAGAGCCCAGCTATGGGAAATGAGAGTGGCCCCGCAGATGTGGTTCTTGTTCTGCCTTAGACTGGCCTGCCATGGCCAAGCCCCTTCCTGGGCATTTTTGCCTCCCACGATGCGCTCATTCACCTGGTTCATCAGGATTTGCTGACCACAGCCTAAACAGAGAAGGCAGACCTGGCACCAAGGCTCTGCCTTACCCCATTTTGCCCAATGCCTTCCAGGTCTCCCCAGAGCCTCTATACCTTCCCCTTGATTTCACCCCACGATCCCCCTTCTTGCCTCCAGTGACCTACCTGAACTTATCCAATGACCTTCTTCACCTGAGAAAGGAAAGGACAGGATGACAAGAAGTGTGGAGAGGGATCTTGAGCTAGTGTCATGATTAATTAGCTTGGCTGCCTGTTGGGGACCTCTCTCTCCTTCAGTTACTCCCTTTACCCTGCTTCTTTTTCTGCTCCTTAGTCTCTTATCTCCCTGTTATTCCCATCCCCTCATTTAGATGCCTCAGTATTCCCTCTAGATCCTCTATTCTTACACTTTCGACCTCAGTTTTTACTTTCTTCCTTCCCCTTCCCCCATCCCTATAGATCACCCTTTGCTTTTCCGTGGACTGCTTTTTCAGTCATGTAGGGGACTTAATTTTCAATTACAGGTTTTTCAGAGATCCTTGTGCTGAAGGAATTGATCTCCGAACAGATAGAAGGAAGTATAGGACTCCAGCACCCAGGATAGAAGGGAACTTTTTGGAACAGGTTGGCTCCCAACATCTAGGACTTCTGGATACTGGAGTGATCTTAGGGTTGTCCTGTGGACATTTGAGCCCTGGGGGAAGGAGTACTGGGGCTAGATACCTGGGTCTTGGGAAGAATGAGGACTGGAGGACAAGACACCTGGGTCCTGGTGAGAACCCCAGAATCCTGGGAGGGGATAAATAAGGTGCCTGATCCTCTGGGGGCGGTGAGGCCAGGGTGGTAGGAAGGACCCTGTGGTAGGCTAGAACAAAGGGCATTGAAGAGTGGGGGAAAGGGTGACAGGGAGGGATGCTTGGGTCCTAGGGAAGAGTTGCTTTGGGACCCGGACTCACCTTTTGTCGTGGGTGGCAGCAGTAGCAGCAACAGCAAGAGCCAGGCAGTCCCCAGTTGTTCCATTTCCCTTACTGGGCCTTGGGGCAGTGGGCAGAATGCCAGGGCTCCACAGCTACTGTCCTTTTGTCCCCAAGGCTTAGAGAAGGCAGTGATAGGCCGGTCTGAGAATGATTAACTCCACCCCCTCGAAGCTCCCCATGCCAGCACCCCAGCTTGGGTGCTTCCTTGAACTCACTTCTGGGATGTGTGTGTGTGTGTGTGTGTGTGTGTGTGTGTGTGTGTGTGTGTGTATGTATGTGTATGGTGTGGTGCATGCGGTGGGTGTGTTTTTCTGTCATGGATTTGCAGGCCAGAGAAGTACCAGCCAAGTCAACAAGTTGTGGTTTCAGTTTTTGATAGGACTGAAGTGGAGGGAGCCAGCCATCGCACTCCCAGCCTGCTTGCCTGCTACTCAGCCCAGCCACCCCTAGCCAGAGCATTTTGACCCAGGGATCCTTACCCACAGTCCATTTTAGACTTTATCTAGAGGGACTTACAGGGTTAAAGTGTCAAGAGATAGAGGTTTATAGCTACAGGGAAATAAGTTGTCTAATGCTAGGAGCTTTTGGCCTGTGACTCAGACATTTTTGAGGAGTAGGAGAGACAAGGAGACCCAGGAGAAGCATATTTCAAATATAAATGTATATCGGGCGTAGTGGGGTAGGAAATTCCCTCAGTTGTTCATCCTTATTTCTCCCTTTCACAGCCAAACAAAATAAGCTTTCCACGTTCCTTGCCTCTACTTATTTACTTCCTGCTCACTTCTCAGCCTCTTGTAATATGGCTTCTGACCCCACTGATAGGCTGAAATTACTTACTCCAAGGCCACCAATTTCTTACTTGCCAAGCTTTCTAAGTACTTCTTCATTCTTTTTGACCTCTTTACAGCATTTGAAACTGTTGATCATCCTCTTCGCTGTCTGGCTGCTCCTTCCCAGTCTCCTTTGCAGGGTCATTATCTATGTCCTGACCCCTATATGTGTGTACCTAGGGCTATGTCCAATGCCCTGTTTTCTTTTTTCTTTTTCTTTTCTTTTTAAAAATTAGTTAATTTTTAGTTTTCAACAATCACTTTCATAAGCTTTTGAATTTTAAATTTTCTCTCCCTCCATCCCCCCCTTCCTCCCCAATACTGCTTGCTATCTGATTTAGGCTCTACATATACATTCCTATTAAACATATTTTCACATTGTCATGTTGTAAAGAAGAATTAGACCCACTAGGAGGAACCACAAGAAAGAGGAAATAAAACAGAAGGAAAAAAAAGCAAATAGTATGCTTCAATCTGCATTCAAATTCCATAGTTCTTTCTCTGGATGTGGATAGCATTTTCTATTATGAGACTTTTGGAGATGCCTTAGATCCTTGCATTGCTGAGGCCCTGTTTTCCTTCTGTCTTCTGTTGGTGAGCTTATCAGTTCCTATGGCTTCAACTATGGTTCCTATTATAACTTTCAAATCCAGCCCTCATCTCTCTCCCAAGTTTCTGTCTCAATCCTTAATCAACAAACATTAAGTGCCAAGTACCCACCACAGACCAGGATAAAAATGCAAAAATGAAAATCCCTGCCGTCAAGAAGTTTACATTCAGTCCCTAACTGCCTGCTGGACATCTCCACCTGGATGTTCCAGATTCAATTCAGTTTCACCAAAACAGGGTGGGAAAGGGAGAATCCTAGTTCCTGGGGTGGGGATAGGGGGTTGCAGCTTCCTTATTTTTTCCCGGAAACCTATTCCTCCTAACTTATACTCATTCTATTGAGGGCATAGAATATCTTTCCTGTCTTCAGTCCATTTGCTTTCCTGCTGCTGAAACAATGTTTCTAGAGCTCAGGTCTGCCCGTGTTACTCCCTTGTTCGAGAAGCATCAATGGCTCCTTCTTGCGTAAAGATAAAAAATACAAGTTCCTCTGGGAATCAAAGCCCTTCACAATCTGGCTTCACCCTGTTTTCCACATGAACTTATTTCATATTACTTCCCTTCATAAGCTTTGTGTTCCAGGCAAACTGGCTTACTTCTTGTTCCCCTTTAGGATATTTTATTTCTTGCCATTTTCCTTTGCACTGACAGTGCCTAGAATATTCTTCCTTCTCACTTTTGTCTTTTAGAATGCCTAGCTCTCCTTAGGCATCAGTTCAAGTACCACCTTCTACAAGAAGCCCTTCCTGATTCACAGAGATCACTAGGCCTTCCTTCACAGGAAATGATTTTGCATCGATTTTGTACATGCCTCCTATTTGTGCCCATGTTGTAAATCCTTGAGGGCAGGGACTACTGTTTTTGTCTTTATTTCCTCAGAACCAAGAGTCTGGTGGGTCCACGTCTGTGTCTGGTACATGGTTGACTTGTTGAATTGAGTCGAATTGTAGATGTGTGCACACAGACCTACACAAGTACAGTTTACTGAAATTTTTAAAAACTGATTTATTTTTACATCATAGTCTTTTCTGAATATGTTACTCTTTTTTCCCCTCTTAAGTTGTCCATTCTTTGTTAGTAAACAAAAACATAAAGAGAAAAGAGCAGTTCAGCAAAATCGAGAAAAACTCAACATGACAGTATGTGCAATATTCCGTAGGCATAGTGTCCCAACATAGGTACACATGTGTAGGTACACTTAGGACACATGCATAGCTGTACATGTCGATGCACAGGTACACACATTGGAGATACATAGACATATGTTCAGATACACGTACACAGAAATACTTGCAGAGGTCTATAGCTTGAGGAAGGAGGAAATAAAAAGGGAGAAAAATGCTGACTTATCAGGAAGTTGAAACAAAGATCTAGGGAGAGAGGGAGGGACAAATGGTGTGGCTAGGGACAACAATCAATAAACAAGCATTTATTACTTACCTGCTGTGTGCCAGGCACTCTGCTGGGCACTGGCGATGAGAAGACAAAAAAAAAAAGAAAAAGAATCCCTGACTTCAAAGAATTTACATTCTGAATAATGAAATGACACTTACTATGTGATATGTCCTCTGATGACTCCCTGGCGTATGTGATTCCACAAAGGAATAAGTAGAAGGAGAAGAAGAGAACCAGTAGAAGATCCAGGTCAGAGAGGACTCTGGCAAATTCTGCCCTGCTCCAGCACCAAAGGGTGGCCTCATAGCCTGATGACTGAGCAGATGATATAAAAAAGTTAATGGCCAATGAATAAACAAACCTGTGGCTCTTTCAGAAGAGCCAGAGAGACTCAGGATTCCAGGAAACAGCAGTTTAAAGAACTTGGGGGAGAGAGAAAAAGAGAGACAGAGTAGGAGAGGGTAAGAGAGAGAGGAGCAGGAAGGAGAAATGGGGAGAGAGACAGAGACAATGAATGAGTATGAATGCCAGCAGAGAAAAGGATAGGAGAAAGGACAAGTGTAAAGACCAGGAAATGAAGCTAGGTGAAGAAGGGGATTAAAAAGAGGCACCAGAAACTGGTGGAAACCAGAAAGCAAGGGCTCTTTAGGTCATATTCATCCCCTAAGCTGGGTTGTATTGTTGCTCTGGCCTGGGAAGGTTGAACTAGAGTGAATCTATTCTCTGACCTCTGGCCTCACGCTCCTGTGGTCTTCAAGATCCCTGGCTTGAGGGTGAGTTACTGTGAACATGGAGACAGCAAAAATATCACTGGACTGAGAATCAGAATCTGGGTTTTAATCCTGACTGCTACAGACTGATTTGTGACTTTGGACAAGTCTTTTTTCTCTGTTTCCTCATTTCCAAAATGAAGGAAATGGAATCACTAGATGATTTCTAAGGTCCCTTCAAGCTTTACATTTTTTGATTGTGCTTTAACATTGAGAAACTGCTTCTGGGCACACAGGAGTTGAGGTATTGTATCACTCCCTTTTCCATTAAGGGGTTCCTCTCTTCTGGGACCCGAGTGATTGGGTACAGGCCATGGGAAACACCCCCACACTACCCTGAATTTTCCCACATGGCCAAGTCTCTGGCATTGGCCTGGAGGCATCTACTCATTCCAGTACTCCTCTCAACTGCCCTTTCATTGTGGCCTATGCCCAATCTTCATTTCTGTTATTCTGACCCGGCCCAACCTTCATTGTCTGTTAGCTCTGAATTGTCTCCTGCCCACCTTTAATTCTGTCTACGCTCCATTTTCCCTTGGCCACGTGCTCTCTATTACCTCCTAGTCACCCAGCCTACTGACCACTCCTAGATGCTTCCCACAATCTTTCTGTATATGCAGTCCATCTTGCCTCCCATTAAATGGCTCAGATTCCATAAGAGTCTGGCCTGTAATGCAGATTTTTAGAATCACGTCCACCCTCTATCGGTGTTGTAATAAATCTTATCTTTGGCTAAAGGAAGTCTTGGGTGGAATTCATTCGGGCAGTACCTGAGTGTTGCTCTTTTGGGGTCAAGCACCCTAAACCTCAACACAAGCATGTGGTTTAGACTGTTTGCTCTAATGAATGAAAGGGCTAAGTTCCCTGTTCTCACACTCTTTGGTTCATAAAACCTCCACCCTGGAGCCCTAGGGAAAATTTATTGAAACTTTAGGTTATGGCATCTGTCTAGGATTTCTTCAAATGAGAGTAGAAGGGTGTTTGATGTATAATATGACTTGGACATGGGACAGGCATTTATTTCCTACACACAAAGGAAATGCTTAAACAGAGCACTTATAAGTATGTGTTTAACATATGCAAGCTTAAAATTCCCCCGCCCCTCACTTGATAGTATTTTATTTTTTCCAATTGCATGCAAAAAAATAGTTTTCAGCACTCATTTTTACAAGATTTTGAATTCCACATTATTTTCTCCCTCCCTTCACTCCCCTCTCCCCAAGACAGCATGCAATCTGATATAGACTATACATGTACAATCATTAAACATATTTCCATACCAGTTATGTTATGAAAAAAGAATCAGAACAAAAGGGAAGAACCATAAGAAAGGAAAAATAAAACAAAATAAGAGAAAATAGTATGCTTCTGATCTGCATTCAGACTCCATAGTTCTTTCTCTGGATGTAGACAGCATTTTCCATCATGAGTCCCTTGGAATTGTCTTAGATCATTGCATTGCTGAGAAGAGCTAAGTCTATCCAAAGCTGGTCATTGCACAATGTTGCTGTGTTACTGTGTACAGTATTCTCCTGGTTCTGCTCACTTTACTCAGCATTAGTTCATGTAAATCTTCCCAGACTTTTCTGAAATCTGCCAGTTCATCATTTCTGATAGCACAACAGCATTCCATTCCATTCATATACCACAACTTGTTCAGCCATTCCCCAAGTGATGGGCATCACCTCAATTTCCAATTCTTGGCCACCACAAAAAGAGCTACTGTAAATATTTTTGTACATGTGGGTCCTTTTCCCATTTGTATGATCTCTTTGGGATACAGACCTAGTAGTGGTATTGCTGGATCAAAGGGTATGCAGTTTTATAGCCCTTTGGACATAGTTCCAAATTGTGCTCCAGAATGTTTGGATCAGTTCACAACTCTACTAACAATGCATTAGTGTTCCAGTTTTCCCACATCTCCAACATTTATCACTTTCCTTTTTTGTCATATTAGTTAATCTGTTAGGTGTGAGGCGGTACCTCAGAGTTGTTTTAATTTGCATTTCTCTAATCAGTACAAACTTAAAAATGTTAGTTGCAATTATATTCTCTCCAGAGACTGTATTGTCTAAACCACTCTAGGTAATATATGTTAGTAAAATGCCCAGCCTTGGACCAGTCCTCTTTTGCTGGAGATATTTCCCCTGTTAACCAGCTCCATTCCTTGGACCCAGGACGTGTGGACTTCTTAGACTACTGAGATCACTTCCAGACCTGGACGTGTCCACACCAAGGCTAATGTTTTCCTATTCAGGGAATCAAATGCAAAGCAGAAAAGGCAGCTAAGGGCCTAGGTGGAAACTTACCTGTTGAGTGGGTGTGATTGGTAGATGGTGGAAATGACTACTCAGGGTTTGCCGTATTATAGCAAAAAACCAAGTCCTTTTAGTGCTGGATCAACACATGGCCGGAAGCAGGACCCAAAGCTCCCACATGATTGACTAAAACCAAGAAGGAAAATTCTTCCTAAAGTTTGGTTCTGGCCATGTCACACATCTACTCAATAAATTCTGTTGGTTCAGAGGTGGGGAACCTTTGGCTTCGAGACCACATGTGGCCCTCTAGCTCCTCAAGTGCAGGCGGCCCTTTGACTGATTCAAGAGCAGCACTTGAGGACCTAGAGGGCCACATATGGTCTCAAAGCTGCAGCCCCTGCATTGCAATGTTCCTTACTGCCTACACGACGGATCGAATATAAAATCCTCTGTTTGGCTTTTAAAACCATACCTTGTCTCCTTCCTACCTTTCCAAACTTCCTATACCATATTACCTTCCACCTACTCTTTGATTCAGTCACTCTTTCCTGCTTTTCCTTTTGTAGACACTCCATCTTTCTACTTTGCATTTTCACTGGCTGTCCCTCATGCCTGGAATTCTCTTCTTCCTCTTCTTGATCTCCTGGCCTCTTGTTTCCTTCAAGCTGCAGCTAAAATTCCACCTTGTACAAAAAGTCTGATCCCTCTTTAATACTAGTTGCTTCCCTGTGAGATTTTCTCCAGATTATCCTGTGTGTATCTAGTTTGTGTTGTCTCCCCCTTGGATTGTGAGCTCCTTGAGGATGGGGAATGCTTTTGCCTTTTTTTTTTTTGGTATGCCCTGCATCCCTCTTGCTTAGTCTGGCACATAAGGGTACTTAATAAATTCTTGTTGACCCATCTGTGGCCCTGGTTATGCTTTGATCCTCCTTAGCTCTGAGAGTCTATGGTTCTATGGCAGAGGGGGTGGGAGGAGTGAAGGGTAGGTAAGGCTGTATGTGTGTTGTATTCCCATGGTCCTCTTACCTCCAGGCAGAGTGGCATCCTGATTTCTTACTGGAAAAAAGTGGACCAACCGTAGACTACTAGAGCTCGAGGGGAACTTTTTATTTTTTAAAAACAGTATTTTATTCCCCCCCCCATTACATGTAGAAACCATTTTCAGCATTCGTTTTGAAAATGTTGAGTTCCAAATTCTCTCCTTCCCCCCTCTCTGAGATGGTAAATATCTGATGGAAGGTGTACATGTGCAATCAAGTAAAACACATTTTCATGTTGGTCATTTTTGTGGAAAAGAACTCTAACAAAAAAAATGCATTGTTCTGCATTTAGACTCCCTCAATTCTTTCTCTGGAAGTGGGTAGCATTTTTCATCATGAGTCCTTTGGGATTGTCTTGGATCATTGTATTCCTTAGAAAAACTAAGTCATTTATTATTCATCAAACAATATTGCTGTTACTGCATACAGTGTTCTCCTGGTTCTGCTCACTTCACTCTGCATCAGCTCATGTGAGTCTTTCCAGAGGCTTTTCTGAAATCATCCAGCTCATCATTTCTTTTTTTCTTTTCTTTCTTTCTTTTTTTTTTTGGCTAAGTAGTGGGGTTAAGTGGCTTGCCCAGGATCACACAGCTAGTAAGTGTTATGTGTCTGAGGCCGGATTTGAACTCAGGTCCTCCTGAATCCAGGGGTGGTGCTCTATCCACTGCACTACCTAGCTGCCCCCAGTTCATCATTTCTTATAGCACGATCGTATTCCATTACAAGTATATACCACAGTTTGTTCAGCCATTCCCCAGTTGATGAGCATCCCTCAAGGGGAACTTTAAACATAAACTATTAAGGATGAAGAAAATCTTATATCCAGCCTCTTTTACAGATGGACAAAATGAGGTCCAGAGGAAAGCGACTTGCCCTAAGTCATTCGGTTAGTGGCAAAACTGGGACTAGAACACAGGTCTGCTAAGTCCCAGTCTAAATTTTACTCCAGTATGCCATCCTGACCCCTTGCTTGTGTATAGGCTGTGGTTAAGTTCATGGAACAGAGGGTATTTTTGTATTTTACTCCTTGCCATGGTCATATTATCCTCACCTTTCTCATGGCTCTGGTGGAGATATATTGGTTTTTGCTTTTGCTATTCTTTGACTTTTAGATGCATTTTTTTTTGAGGGAGGAGGTGAATGGGAAAAAAGGAAAGGGGAAAGGAGAAAGTGGAGTTCATGACATTCAAACCACAGTTTAGGGGTCTATTCAACTTTATTAGGCACTTTAGGTTAGAATTAGGAAGCTTTCAGAGTCCCCCAGGGGCAGAACTAGGTAGGAGGAGCAATTCTAGAATTAGGAGGATCCTGGATCAGGTGGCCCTCTGAAGTTGTCAGGAAGTGGGGGAGGGACCCGGATGTTCATCTCTGTTTCTTCCTGAAAGAACCATCACCCAATTTTCCATGCAAATACCGAGTCTCACTTCCCTTCCAATTTCACTTTCCCAGCACACACTGAGCTGAGTTGGTCATTTTTAGAAACCAGGAAGAAATAACGGCAAGAGCTGGTGGGATTGGGGATGACTGGGCTCTTGGTGGGGGGGGTGCAGGGCTGGGGTGCTCAAGTGGGCCTGGATCCAGGGCCAGTAGTGGGCCACACTGGTGTAGACACCTGGGCGGTTGGGCAAAGCACATCCCTTGCCCCAGCTCACCACACCTTCGAGGACCCATCGACCAGACTGGATGCACACCAGGGGGCCCCCAGAGTCTCCCTGAGGGAAGACAACAGCTCAGCTCTTCTGGTGTTCTCTGCCCCCAATGCCTTTCTCAGAACTCAGGCTGTTGCTGTCCCGGCTCGCAACCCCCAACCTCAGCATCCCTCTTCCCTTCCTAGCTTGCCAACTCCTCCTTCCATCTTGGAACCCAAGTGTCAGGTCTTAAGGCTGCTACAGCTGAGGTCTCCACTGCATCCTGTTCACTGATGTATGGGGAATGGGAAAGGATCTGACTACTTGAGCCATTGTTCCTTCCCCTACCCTAACATGGGGCCATTAGAACCTAAAGAAGGCTCCTATATGAAACCTTCACATGATTTCCACAGTTTTTTGGCCAGGTTTGGTGGATCGACTAATATCCTACCCTTTTTGCAATGCTAAAGTGAAGACACCTTGGCAGGGTTCCTCACGATTTCTCATGCACCCAGTTCACATCCCTTCTTTGAGGTGGAGATGGGGGGAGGAGGCCCACCTTTGTGGGCTGGTACAGCTGGGAGGGCTGTAATCCTAGGTCCCAGGTGGGGTCTTACCTGGCAGGCATCCTTGCTGCCTCTGGCATAGCCTGCACATAGAGTGCCAGGCAAGACTATGGCCTCTGAGAGGGGGATGTCGGAGTCCATGTGGTAAAGCTGATCACAGGCCAGTCTGTCTATCAGGGGGACCTGGACGCCCTGCAGGGGCCGGGAGCCAGGCAGTGGTGCTGAGGGAACAGGACAGAACAGGGATGGGGCAGCCCTGGGGCATGGAGAGGAATAGCAGCCTCTCAGAAATACTTCTCTAGTAGGGGTAGGGGAAGGAGAGCAATAGAAATCTGCCAGAAGGGATAGGGGCACACTGGGAAAATAAGAACTGTGGGTTCGATGGAGAATGCGGAAGGGGAGCATTTGGACTCAGTAGTGAGGCGGTAGGTATGCAGTTCCTTCCTCCCCCCCAACTTGGGGGGTAAGTGGATGGGGCAGAATACAGAGTTCTCTGCCAGGAGAGGCCACCTTGGTCCCTCCTTCTCAGCTCACCTCCGAGCTGGAGGCTGCCCCAACCAGTGACCCAGCACCGGGTGCCTGGGGGTGGCAGGGCTCCAGGTCCAGGTAGGCAGACCGGCCGGATACGGGCACTGAATGGAACCGGGCTGTGGAGCTGGACCAGCGCTATGTCGCCCTGGGCCCCGTCTTCCGTAAAGTTGGCGTTGAGCACGACCCGCAGCAGTGGCAAGGAGAGAGCTTGAGGCGAGGGCCGGGCCAGGCGGAACTCCCCTAGTCGTACTCGGTACTCCGACAGCCTCACGGGTCTGGGGGCGAGAGAGCCGGAGAGAGGCTTAGGCGGATTAGAACTGCAACCCAGGGCCTGGGAAGGGAGGAGACAAGTCCCTCCAGTCACCTCTTCCTCCAGCAGCCCGCTTGCTCTGGTTCTTCCCGGGGCCCGAGGTTGGCCCTCGCCGCAGCACTCCACAAACCTGCCCGCGTCCCCACCCTCCCCTGGCGTCCCCCACCCCAGCCTCCACGTGGTGCAGGGCATCAGCCTCGGGCCTCTTTCTGTTGGCCTCTCTCTGCCCGACAGTCTTCGCGCCTCGGCCTTGCAGAGGAGTCAGGCGTCCTACTCCTGGAGAGGTCCCAGCGAAAGTTTTTATCTTCCTAGGGTTTACGGCTGGCGCCCAACCCTCCCATTTTACAGCTGGGGTTCAGAGTAGTTACTGAAGGTATTTATATACCTGTATTAAATACCGGAAGTATTTGACCGAAGGTCATCCAGGCACTAAATAGAAGAGCTGGATTCGAACCTGGGTTCTGTGGCTCCAAAATCAATGTTCGGAACACTCTACACCCAGGCTAATTGGTCCGACTCTGGAACTTATTTCCTTCTGGGACCCAGGTGTCCTCCCCCTTCCCGTCCTTTTTCCTACTCCGAAAATCCAAGTATCCTCTGCTTCTCTTCTGGCTTCTTTTCTGAGTCCTCTGACCTCCTACCTTCCCAAACCGTGTTCTTCCCATCCCCTGGCCCAGAATGAGAGGGGAACAGGAACCTACGAGTCCTGTTCCCTTGCCCCCTTTCCTTTCCTAGGGTCCAGGCTTTAGGATTCCTAGGGCTCCCATTTTTTCCCAACCACTCAGACATCCATTTCTGCCCATTCCCTACTCCAGGCATCAGGCTGTTTCCCCCCTCAGACCCAGCCATTCCCTTCCAGTCTCTGTCCTACCCAGATCCTTCTTTGTTCCCTCCCAGAACCAACCTTGGGAAGCAGTGAGCTGCGGTCAACACCCACTGGCGAGAGATGAGTGAGGCCCCGCACACATGAGACCGATGGTACTGCAGGCTGGCTTGCCATGGCCACTCCCCCTCCCGGGCATCCCTCCCGCCCACGATGCGGCCAGATATCCGGGGCTGCCCACAGCCTGGGGAGACATAGGGGCAGGCCTGGTGAAAAAGGGCATCGGAGTTTTGTGAAAGGGATAATGAGAACCCGGAAGATGGGACATTTCTGGTTCTGGGAATGGGGTGATGACAGGCTGAGAGGCAAGATGCCTCAGAGAGAATAGTGAGGCCAGGAGATAGATCAGGCCAGCGTTAAGTGGGTAGAGAGGCCGGTTCTGAGGGCTTTGTACCTGGAAACATCTGTGTTTCTGCAGCTCCTGGAGAAAGAATAATAATTATAACTGACTTTTATATAGTTCTGCAGTTGATCCTCATAAAACTTTGTGAAGGAGGCAGGCATAATTCTCTCCATTTTGCAGATGAGAAAATGGGGACTAAGAGAAGCAATGTTGTGTAATGGAATGACCATGGAATTTAGAGTCGGTAGACCCAGTTAGGAATCCTAGCTCAGCTACTTACTTCTTGTGTAACCTTGGGCAATTTTTTTTACTCCCCTGGGCCTCAGTATCCCTTCTTTGTAAAATAAGGGTATTGGACCATGATCTCCAAGGTTCTTTCTAGCCTTAAGTCCTATAAATGACCAAAGTAAGGGATTTGTCCAAGTTCACATGGTTATTAGGTGTCAGCACCAGGATTCACACTGAGGTTTCTATCGCACTGCAGATGCTCCACAGAGAAAATAAAGAGATGGGGCTGGTTAACCTGGTTGTGGGTGTAAAATAATACGGAGGAAGGGAGATAACACAGAGAAGGGCTTAGAGACAGTAGGAATCTGACAACCAAACTGGGATGGGATAAGGGGAGTGATTAGGTTAGTTCTCTTGTATTTGGTAGAGTTGGAACAGAAAAGGGGAATATAATTCTAGAATGGGGGAGGGGGTGACTATGAATAACAGAGAAAATGAGTAAGAAAACATGGGATGCAGTGTTTTTCTGTGGTGCTTGGGGCCTGGGCCCCAATAATCAGGTTGTAGTAATGGGAAGATGGGAAAATGCCTGGAGTCTAGACTGGGGAGCCAGCAACTTCTTATATGTCTGGGTTGCAGGGGAACCTCCAGAGAAAAGGGTCTTAGAAGGGAAATCTCCTCTAACCCTTAGGGATGCAGAGATTTCAGAGCAGTGGGGATGAATAAGCCAGAGAGGAAGAAAGCTGAAGGTGGAAAGGCAGATCAGGAGTTCTGGGAGGAGAGAGAAATAGTTCAGTGTGCTAAGAATCAGTGTTCCTCAGTATCAGTTCTCTTCCCACCTGCCAGTCCTGTCTACCCCCCCCTCCTCACTTACCCAGCAATAGCAGTAGCAGCAGAGGGCCCTGTCGGCATGAATACTCCCTCATTCTTTCTCACTGGGTCCTGAGGGAAAGGGACAGAGCCAAGGAGGTAGGAAGGACAACCCTAAATAGGTGTGGAGGAGAAGGTTGAGTGAACTCAGAAGCCTTGGCCCCCACACCTTGGTCAATAACCCCCATTCCTTTTCACCTTGTGTCTTTGAGAGTCCCACTTCTGCACCCTATCTGCTATTGTCTCCCAGAACCCAGGGGTCTGGATTCTTCAGTCCTTACAGCTTTTCTGGAACCCAGGAATGCGGTATCTCTCCCTTCTCACCCATTAGTCTGGGCTCTTCTCAGCAACTTTATGGAAAACATTGAAGGGGGTGGTGCTGGTGGGGGAAGAGTTTAAAATGTTGCAGAAGGGAGGAGGCTGGGGGGTAGGGGAGTAATTAAAGGGGTTGGGGGTAGGCCTGGGGTGGTGCTCTCTGAGGCTAAAGAAACAAAGATGCCTTCAGAAGCTTATTTGTATGCGGTGAGATAGGGAACAGGACACCTGGGTTTCCGGAAAGGAGCTGCTTCTCTGGCTCAGGACACCTGGGTTTAGGGAGGATGTTGGCCTGGGAAGGGGTGGGGTGAGGGCTGGAGAGTCAGATGTCCTGTGTTCTGAGAGGGCAGCAAGCCTGGGAGAATATGTGAGAATCTGGCAAAAAGGTGCCAAATAGGATGAAATCTTTGCTAGACTCCCAGAAACCCCTAGGAGGATAATTAGCAGCTCATCCCTGAGGAGCCTGTCTCCATTCTGAATCCTGTCCCATTCAGTTTCATATTTCACCTTCTAAGCCACTATTGTTTGTTCTGGACAGTTAGCACCACACATAGAAAAACTCTGTTCCCACAACCCCACACTGATCCCTAACCCTGACTCCAGACAGAAACCCCTCCTCAATCCTGGCCCCAGACCAATGTCCATCCCCCAACCCGAAACTGCCTTCTATACCTGACTCTAGACTGCCCACTAACTCTAGTCTGTCTCCAATGTGATGCTTAACCCTGGCCTCCAGATTGACCTAGGATTACAGAATGTTGGAAAGGAGTTTAGAAATCATTTAGTCCCTCATTTTACAGAAGAGAAAATCGAGGTCCAGACTAATAAAGGGACTTAACCTTAACTTATACAAGTTGCTGAGCTGAGATTCAAACCCAGTTCTTCCAGTGTGGGCCCTCATAACCTTAACCTGGCCTATTGAAACTGCCAGCTGATTGGGCTCCTTGCTTCAAGTCTCATCTAACTTCAAACTCTCCTCCACTCAGCTGCCAAAATGATCTTCCTAAAGTGGAGCTTTGACCATATTGTCCACCCTCTCCAACTCCCCCCCTCCCCTAAACCGAAGTAGCTCCATATTGGCACTAGAATGAAATACAAAATACTTTGGCATTTAAAACCTTCACAACCGAGCCTCTTACAGCTTGCTCCCTTTCACCCTCCATTTGTCTACTTGCTCTTCCTTGCATACAGTATTCAGCTTAAAATTAATTTTATAAGCATTTATTATCTCTCCTTCCCATTGTCCCCCCCCATTGAATGGCAAAATTAAAAATTAATAAAAAAAAAAAAGGAAACAGTCATATTGAGCATATATATAGCCCAGCAAAACAAATTCCCACTATGATGTTGTCCAAAAATATATGTCTCAGCCAAGGGGGTGTGGGATGGGGTACATCACAGGGTTAGGGAGTGCTAGTCCCAGTCTTGGCACATGGGAAGAAGGAGGGAGGCTCTACCATGGGGCACAAAGTTTCTGATCCAACCCTTTCCAACTGTTCTCTAAGCCTAGACTTGAGATAGCAGCAGCTTGCTGGAGGACCATTAATCCCTAGCCTTGACAATGACTGTTGCTTCTAAGGAGAAAACTGGTCAGGAGCATCATATGATAGAAGGGAGAAAGTGAAGGAAGCAAGCTTTATCGAACAGAACAACTCCCAAGATGAAGGGGAGATCAGGGAGGATAGAGGGAGAATAATATGTTGAAGTTCTCTGTGAAATGAGGCACCTACAACTGGAGAAGTGAGGTAAATTTTCGTAGGATTCTTATCTGGCATGGGGGGGGCAAGGGAGAGAAGTTTGGAGCTGAGGACTAGTGCTAATTCATGATGGGGGGAACTCTTGGGGAACTAATAGGTCAGTTGATATTCAAATGAAAAAAGAGATTTTAGGCAATTGCTACAGGCCTGACTTGGATGAGGTGACTGGGGATTTGAGTTTCCCTTGGGTTTCTTCCGTTAGCAAAATGGGGAGGCTGCAGAAATCTTTATGCCCTTCATTTCCAGTTTTAGGCTGCTATAAGTGTTTTTGTACATGCCAGTCCTTTTCTTCCTTTGGATTATAGGCCTAGTGGTGGTGTGGCGGGGTCAGAGGTATGCACATTGTAGTGACTTTTGGAACATGGTTTTAGAATGGCTAGACTAATTCACAGCTCCAGCAACAATGCATTAGTGTGCCTGCTTTCCTGCAGCCTATCTAATTTCATGCATTTTCCCTGGTTGTCACACACACACCTGTAATGATCTCCCTTTTCATGTCTGCCTCCTGGCTGACCTGGCCTCTTTCAAACTTCAGCTCAAATACCACCTTTTCTAAGATACCTTTTCCAGTCCCCTTTCCCTTCTAATGCCTTCTTTCTGAGGTTACCTTCCATTGATATATGTTTTATACGCATAAGGTTGCTTACATTATTCTCTCTTTATTAGATTGTGAGCTCTCTGAGGGCAGGGCCTGTTTTTGCCTGTCTTTGTATCTGTAGTGCTTAGCACAGTGCTTGGTACTTAGTAAGCACTTTTTAAGAAATGCAAATCGACTTAGCTGACTGACTGACTTTTTCCTATGTCATCCTTGCCTTCTGTTAAATCTGACACCAGACTGAGCCCTATACAGTCTCTAATCTCGTAACTTCCACATTCTTCATTTTGTTGGTAATCCTTTTGATGGCCACTGTAGGAAATTTTTATCTGGAAGTTTCTTCCCTACCAAACCTGGAATCCTGGAATGTGGTCTGCTTTTGCATACTGTCAGTCAATGGTCAATAAGACTTTATAAGTCACACTGTGTACCAAGTACTGTGTTAAGTGCTGGAGATTTAAAGAAAGGCAAAACCAGTTCTTGCTTTCAAGGAGCTCAGGATGTAAGGAGAGGGACAACAATGCAAACAATCATGTATAAATTAATATATACAATGAAAATGAAAGTTGAGGTGGGGGGGGAAGCATTCCAAGTGTGGAGGACAGCCAATGAAAATGCATGGAGTCAAGAGATGGAGTGTTGTAGGTGAGGCCAATGTGCAAGCAGGCCAATGTAGCAAGATCACAGAATTTGTGGAAAAGAGTCAAGTATAAGGAGGTTGGAAAGGTAGCCAGGGGGCCAGGCTATGAGGAACATGGAATTTTGTTGAGTAAGGGAGTGGCATGGTTAGACTTTAGGCAGTTGAGTGGAGGATGGAGTAGAGTGGGGAAAAACTTAAGGCAAGAAGACCAAAGAGCAGGCTATTTCTCCCCCCCCATAGTATTTTATTTTTTCCAATTACATGCAAAGATAATTTTCAACATTCACCTCTATGAGATTTTGAGTTCCAAATTTTTTTTCTCCCTTCCTTTTCTCCCTCCTCCCCAAGATGGCAAGCAATCTGATATAGGCTATACATATACAATCATACCAAACATATTTCCATGTTAGTTATGTTGTGAAAGAAGTATCAGAACAAAAGGGAAAAACAATGAGAAAGAAAAAAACAAAGAGAAAATAGTATGCTTTGATCTGCATTCAGATTCCATAGTTCTCTCTCTGGATGTGGATAGCATCCTCCATCATGAGTCTTTTGGAATTGTGTTAGATCTTTGTATTGCTGAGAAGAGCCAAGTCCATCAAAGTTGGTCATTGAACAATGTTGCTGTTACTATATTCAATGTTCTCTTAGCTCTACTAACTTCACTCAGCATCAGTTCATGTAAATCTTTCCAGGTTTTTCTGAAGGCTATTTCAATAGGCTAGGTGCGAGATTTGCACCAGAATGGCGGCTGTAGGAATACAGAGAAGGGGGCTTATAGGAGAGATGCTGTAAAGGCAGAAATGATAAGACATTACCACAGATTTGGGATGTGGAGTGTATATGAAAAGGCATGACACAGGGATTGTGAGCTTAGGTGACTGGGAGGATGGTGATGCCCTTGACAATGAAGAGAGAGTACTGGGGAAAGAAAACAAGTTGTTTTGGATATATTGAGTTTCAGAAATCTACAAGGAGATCCAGGTCAAGATGTTCAAGAGGCATTTGGAGACTGGAGCTTAAGAGAAAAGTGGGGGCTAGGTAAAGAGTTCTGAGGGTCATCGGCTTAGAGATGATAATTGAACCCATAGGAACTGATAAGACTATTAAGGGAAATAATGTAGAGAGAGGAGAAGAGAGCCCAGGACAGACCCTTGGAGGTCACCAACAGTTATTGAGCATGACCTCTAGGTAGATCCAACAAAGGAGATCAAGAAGGAGCAATCAGACAGGTAGCAGAAGACCCAAGCATGTCAGGAAAACCTAGAGAGAAGCTAGCATTCTGGAGAAGAGGGTGATCAGCTAGGTCAGAGGCCACAGAGAAGTCAAGAAGGATTGGGACTGAGAAAAGGCCATTGGATTTGGCAATTAAGGGATCATTGGTAACATCAGAGAGAGCACTGTTGAAAGATGAGGTCAAAATCCAGGTTGCAGAGGGTTTAGAAGAAAGTGAGAGGAGATGAAGTGGAGGCATCATCTATTATAGACTGCTATTTCAAGTTCCCCACCGAAGGGGAAGAGAGACATAGGTTAATTGCTGAGGGGAAAATAGTTGGATGGTAGGGAATGGAGGAGACTTCTCCATGAAGCACATCTTGTCAATTTTTTTTAGATGCCTATTTCAGAAGAAATACAGTTTCCAAAGATATCAAAATATATGACCTAAGGCAAGTGATTTCCCCTTTCTGGGTCTCAGTTTCCTCATCTGTTAACATGAATTAGCTGCGCTAGATAGTTTCTTTCAGCTCCCATATTCTAGTTCTGCTCCCATCCAAAAAAAATACCAGCGTTACCATGTTACCATATTACCACGCTAGGGGCTCAGTTCCGCTGTTTATGAGCTGTGTGGCCATAAGCTAGTCACTTTATGTTCCTGACCCTGAGTTTCCCCAACTTTAAAACTGGAATAATAACTCTTGCATTGTTTATGCAGGCATGGTGCTGTTGTGAGGATCCTTTAAACAGGTGCCCAGGAAGGCACTTTATAACCAAGGAAACATCCACCTTTTCCCTGAAGGACTCTCTTCTTTGAGGGGAGCCCACTCCTGCCGGAGACCGCTCATTCCATTCTCAGCTAGCTCTAATTGTTAGTAATTGTCCCTCCTTATATTAAACCTTCATTTGTCTTTTTGTAACATCCATGTATCGCTTCCATTTCTGTCCTAGTAAGTGCCTGAGGTAGGAGGTAAGGTCACATCATCCTGTCTCCAAGTTTAGCACTCTATCCATCACATCACCTAGCTGCCCAGGTGTGTCCTCAACTCTTCTCAAGGCTAAATAGTTCCAGATCCTTCAGCTGCTTCTCATACAGCAAATATTTAGTGCCCTGCACTTTCCTAGTTGCTTTCCCCTCTGGATGCTATGCAGTTTATCCGTGACCTTTCTAAAATGTGGTTTCTAGAACTGAACTGAACAGTGATGCAGATGCTCTGACCCAGGCAGCACTTACTCCACAGTCCTGGAAACTCTGCCCTCTCAGGGCAGCCTAAGATCACATTAAATTGTTTTGGTTGGCACTTTGCAGGGTTGGTGTAATATAGAACTTGTAATCCACCAAATATTCCAGATCTTTTTTGGACAAACTGCCATCTAATCATCCTCCTCCTGCCCTCACCCCACCATTGTACTTGTAAAGCCAATTTTTAAACCTAAATGTACTTTCCATTTATCCCTATTAAATTTCATCTTCTTAGATTTGGCAGTGTTTTAGCTAAGATATGATTAGATCCTGACTCTGTCACCTTGTGTTTGAGCTAGGTAACCCTCCCAGCTTTGTGTTATCTTTGAACTTCCTTAGGGTTGATGCCAAGTTGGCAAATTGCTGCTGCAGCGATCCTTACCAGGGAGCCAGAAGCCATTACTGTTGTTTGAGAGTGCTCTTTCACTTGATAGCGCCTGCGGGTCCATGTCAGTATTCCTTTGAACACGAACAGCCCATCTCTCCTCTTCCGAAAGGGTTTTACATCTCTGTTATTTAGTTCCAGTTCTTCAATGGTCCCTCCTCTTTACTTTCTCCTCTGTCACATTTCTCAAACCTCTGACAGGTACTTGCTGATTGTGAGTTTAATTCCTCTGCCTGTAAGGATGCTCTGTTTTGACTGTTTCTGTTTTCAGGTGTGAATCATTCATGTTTTCTGTTGGGTCCAATTAAATCTAACCTAGATTAAATATTCTGGTAGCTTGGGTGTTTATATGAAAGCTGAAAACCTTTTCCCGTTTGGACAAGAACTAGGCAGGAATTAGGTAAAGAATATCAGGAGCTTCTGATGTTCTTAGGGAACACTGTAGTTGGGAGAAAACAGGAACCAAATTCAAGTGTTTCCAGGGGAGCCCTGTGTTGGGACATAAGCCATAGGCTTCTTTATTAAGAAGCTTCCAACATTGAATCTGGTGGTTTGTGCTTAGACCTGCAATTATAGAACACGGATTACATCTTTGAGGAGGGAGACTAGCCTTCACTTTGAGCATAGACAATTAAATACTCGATTATGTCAGAAAGATGAAGATTGTGTTCCCTATGGGGATTAGTGCATAATTCTTATTGTTATCCATAGTTTTAGATTTTTAAATCTAAAAAGATTTTAAAATCTGTTTGAGGAGCAGATCCTTAGTTCTTTTTGATTCACTGTACGCAAATGTGAATTCTTCTTCTTATAATTATTAACATTACCAGCACTCCTACAAGTATCCTTCCATTAAGTTGAATAATAGTTTATAGCAGGTTTTTTTTTGTTTTCATTTTTAAGCTTTTATTTAGTATTTTATTTTCCCCCAGTTACATGTAAAAACAATTTTAACATTTGTTTTTAAAACTTTGTGTTCCAAATTCTCTCCCTTCCTTCCTCCCTCACCACTCCCCTCATTAGAAAGGCAAGCAACTCGATATAGGTTATACATGTGTAGTCATGCAAAACATATCCATAATAGTCATGTTGTGAAAGAAAACATAGATAAAAAGAAACTCATGAAAAATAAAGAAAAAGTATGCTTCAATCTGTATTCAGACATCATCAGTTCTTTCTCTCGGGATGGAAAGCATTTTTCGTCATAAGTCCTTCAGAGTTGTATTGGATCATTGTATTGCTGAGACTAGCTAAGTCATTCACAGCTGATCATCTTATAATATTGCTGTTACTTTGTGCACAGTACACTTCACTTTGCATCAGCTCGTGCAAGTCTTTCCAGGTTTCTCTGAGAGCAGCCTGCTCATCATTCCTTATAGTCCAATAGTATTTCATCATAATCATATAGCACAACTTGTTCAGCCATTCAATATAGCAGATGTTCTTGACCTTTTTCGTGTCATGGGCAGTCCGGTGAAGCCTTTGGACCCCTTCTTAGAATAATATGTTTTAAAATGCGTAAAATAAAATACATAGGATTTCAAAAGAAACCAATTATATTCAAATGTAATTATCTAAATATTTTTTAAAAGCCACCCCAAACAAAAACAAGTTCATGGACCCTAGATTAAGAACCTCTGGTTTTACAGATTCTCCTCAGAGAGGCAAAAAAGGGAATTGGAAAAGTTGGTTTTATTCGTGTGCTTGAAAACAATCAGGAGTGTTATTTGAACAGCTTTAAGCACTGCCAAGGAACTCAAGAAGGTAATTATTGATTATGCACCAATATCTGTGCTTCTTTCACTGATGCTGATAACAACCGTCTCTGAACTTTAGTAGGTTGTTCATGGTATGCTGTGGTTTAAAAAAAAAAAAGTTACCCTCCGAGCCAACCTGGTGATGAACCTCTCCGCATTGAGGTCGGTTGGCTCTCTGACATAAAGTCTATTGTTAGCCTGTCCTTGAAACATTTCCAACTTGGCGGGACCTGTCAGAGCCTCTCTGTCTCATTCACATAATCTTTAGAAGCCCAGAAGGATACTCTCCATTTTACTTTATTTCCTTTTTTTGGGGGGAGGGGGTGAGGCAATTGGGGTTAAGTGACTTGCTCAGGGTCACACAGCTAGTAAGTGTCAAGTGTTTGAGGCCGGATTTGAACTCAGGTCCTCCCGATTCCAAGGCCAGAGCTCTATCCACCACACCACCTCTTACTCTCCATTTTACACTAAGGAATCTGAAACTTTCTAGAGGGGTGGCATATCTAGAGGTCATCTAGTTCAACTTCCAACCACATGGGAACATTCCTACTTGAGGCAGGGTCCTGTGGTTCCAAGAGAAGAGGAACCATATGGCCACAGTGTCACAGTGACAGAGGACTTTCTAGACAAACAGGGAAATGCATGTCCAAGTCTAGAATAACTTTGAATTCTTGGTCTAAGCTTCCAGGTCACAGATTCCCAACCAAGGCTGAGTTCAGGGATGAAGTGGAGGATACTTGATTGCAGTTCTGGGGACAGAACTACAATATGGAGGAACAAATCTGACCTTGTCCTCCATGAAGAGTTGGATGGAAGTTGTCTCTCTAGCATCCCTCAGCTCTTCCTCCTTCTGAGATGGGACCTCCACCGCAGGGTAGTGTTATAAATTTGGAGAACTGTATAGGTCTGTGGGGAAGGTGGATCTCAGTGGAGGATGAGGGCTTAACTGTCTATTGACCCCATGTGCTTTCTCATTTTGGGGTATCCTCTGCTGGTACCTTGGGTGAGGGCCAAATGAGTAAAATTCTGATGTCCCTAGGGGAAACCTTGGGTGGGAAGCATTAGCCAGAAAGGGTAATTTGTGAAAATGATAGAAACTAATCCATAGAAACAAAAAACTAAGTTTCCAGTCCTTGTAGGGTGAGTGAGATCAGGAAGACGGGTGGAAGATAGGAGAAGGTCAGGAGGGATGGCTTATGGTTTCTGTATCCCACATAACTTCTTGTCATCCTGGGTGGCTGACTGAGGCCCAGTCCTGCGTAATATTAGGTAAAGAAATCTGTTTCTTTTTCTAGACAGCTATACACCCCCGTTTCCTACCTTTCCTGAGCACATCAGTCCCCTTTCCTGATTTCCTAAACTTAAACTCAATTCATGTCCTCTACCACTTCCCACTCCTATCATTATACTCCAAGTTACATAGTTGGTGTGTGTGTGTGTGTGTGTGTGTGTGTGTGTGTGTGTGTGTTGTGGCATTTGTCATTATTTTATCTGAACTGGGTTCCTCTACTGATCTGTTTCTCCTGCTTGATATTTCTGATGAATTTATTCTCTGCTTGTCGAGCTGTTATGCAGCCTTTTCTTCCATGGGAGGAGGAATCGGAGTCTATTTCCTCTTTTAAATAGTAGTCTGAGGGCTATTTTGGCTCTTTGTGATAATGGATCCCAGCAGTCTGTCCCCATCCATCACCCTCTGTAGGAGACCCCTCCTAGTCCCATTCTCTGCCAGTGCTCTTTACTCTAAAGTGACCTTTCATCTTTTTATTTTTGGTTAGGCAATGGGGTTAAATGACTTGCCCAGGGTCACACAGCTAGTAAGTGTTATGTGTCTGAGGCCGGATTTGAACTCAGGTTCTCCTGAATCCAAGGCTGGTGCTCTGTCCGCTATGCCACCTAGCTGCCCCTACCTTTCATCTTCCAGTTGTTGACCAGACAGGAAAAGGGTCTTCAGCTTTCACATAAACACTCAAGTTAACAGAACATTTAATATAGGTCAGATATAATTGGACCCAACAGAAAACACCAAAGAGTATGTACCTATTTATATATACACATTATCTCCTCCGGTAGAACATAAGCTTCTTGAGGGCAGGGACTATTTTTGCTTTTTCTTTGCATCTCCAATGCCTTGCCCAGTTCTTGGCACAGAGTAAGTACTTAATAAATGCTTGTTGATTGATTGATTTGAGTAAAACCAGACAATTTTTTTCAGCTCCTTTCACTCCATTGGCTGCATCCCTATGTCCCTGAAAATAATGCTGGGAATTCCTCTTAGCAAGATTGCAAAGAAGCTGGTAGAGCTATGGCAAGGGGATTCCTTTTGTGAAGGAGGTGGGATGGTTATTAGTGAGCATGTTCTGCACACTGATGTGATCTTTGTGTGGAAAAGGGCGAGGAACCTGCGCTGGAAAGGTGTGAGACCTGCCGTAATGGAAGGATCTTGCTCCCCCAGCTGAAGCGTATGTAGATATTTTATATCTGCTTCCGGGCTGCTGAGCACGTACTAAAGAGAAAGACTGTTGATTAACTACTGAGCCAGAATGGGGTGTATTCAAAGATATTATCCAGCCAAAGCAAGGTTCTGCCTCTTCCCTGTATGGCTGGGTTCAAATGAGGATACAAGCACTGCTGTAAGCCACTTGGTAGGGAGAAGAGCTTCAGCCCTTTATTTCCCCACTAGGAGCAAGGGTGAAATGGTGAGCTAGCAGAGACTGGGGACCTGGAGTTTATGCCCATTTTTGTGGCCAGCACAGGTAGAGAGGAATGAAGTATCTAATACCAATATGACCTAGCACAGATTGAAGACAGCCAAATGAGAACTGTAGTAGTTAACCCATCAGTTATGCTGAATTTGGAAGAGAGCTTTTGGAGCAAATGATATGTAGAAACTTCTTTAAGTTTGAGTCCCTTCTCCTCAGGCACTGAGGTGGTATTGAAGAGAACATATTGAAGTAGGGGCATGTTTATACGTCAATTTTTGCTATGTCTTCAGAATAAATATCCCTTTGTAAAAGTTAATGTTAATTGGTTAAATGATACTGGAGAACCAGTCACTGTCAATTAATATTGACAAGCCAGAATTGGTGTTTGAGCCAATAGCATTAGAGAAAGATACCCTTGACCCCTTAGGGATACTTCTAGAGCCCTGAAAGGGAAAGATATAGCCAAACAGTCTGGGAATCCAGACTGTTATGCCTGTGGGTTGGCATAAGTGCTCAGCATCTCACTACACTTTCCAACAGCACCATACTTCTGATCACCTCTGAGTTCATACAGATCACTTGGGGAGCAAGCCTGAAAAGGGCTG